GTTGCAAACAAGCTTGTGTCAGAGCCTGCCTTTGCGTGGTGGGTTCCCTACACTCTGAGAAAGCGTGATCAAGTTTTGAAAGCTGTCAAGCGCCGTGCTGTGAAAAGACAGAAGGCAGAAAAGTTTGGTATTGAGGTGCCTGGTCCTGGGCCGAAAGGTGTTGCACGTGCGTATGAACTTGTTGCTGAGAATGGTACCACACATTGGAGTGATGCCTTGATCAAAGAAGTGAAAACAATCCTACCAGCTTTGAAGATTCTGGAAGAAGATGAAGATGTTCCCGTTGGGTACCAGCTCATTGAGCTTATGACTGTTTTCGATGTCAAGATGGATCTCACGCGGAAGGCACGAATATGTGCTAGAGGGGACCAAACGGATCCTCCAATGTCTGTCACCTATGCAAGTGTTGTGACAAGGGAAAGTATTTGACTTGCTTTTGTTATTGCTGCTTTGAATGGTTTGAATTTTTTGAGTGCTGACGTCTCCGGTGCATATCTGAATGCCAAATGTGCCGAGAAAGTTTATTGTATTTTAGGGAAGGAGTTTGGAGAGTATGCGGGGAAGAAAGCCATCCTGGTTAAGGCTGTTTACGGACTCAAAAGTTTGGGATTCGCATGGAGGAGCCTCTGTGCGGACGTTTTGAAGGAACAATTGGAGTTCCAACCATGTCGTGGAGATATGAATGTTTAGTGTCGTCCTTGTCAACGCAAAGATGGTTCAAAGTATTATGAGTATATTTTAGATTATACTGATGATGTCATTGCAATCTTGGAAAATTCAAAAGCGATTATGGACAAACTCAACAATTTCTTTGTTTTAAAGCCCGACTCGATAAAAGAGCCAACCACATATCTTGGTGCAACAATCTCAAAGCACAAGTTGGATGGTGATGATTATTTCACCTGGGCTATTGGATCAGAAGAGTACCTACAAGAGTTGTTAAGAGTTGTCAAGAAACAAATTGCCCCAATGCAACTGACTTTAAAGAAAAAGGTTTACTCAACTTTACCCACTGGATACAGACCGGAACTTGATTCTACTCCTTTTGTCGATGATGATACTGCTATTTTCTACATGCAACTCATCGGTATTCTGCGCTGGCTTGTGGAACTTGGAAGTATCGATGTCGCCGCCAAAGTGTCTATGCTCTCGTCTTACAATGCAATGCCTTGTGAAGGTCACTTTCATGCTGCCTTACATATTTTTGCCTATTTACAGAAGCATCCTGATCATGTACTTGTGATGGATTGTGGTTATGCTCATCATCTGAGACCATTAAAGAAAGCTGACTACTCAAAGTTCTATGAATTCACCAAGGATGAACTCCCAAGTGACATGCCTACACCTCTTGGCAAAGCGGTAGAGTTTACTATGTTTGTTGATGCATCTCATGCTGCTAACGTTGTTACTCGTCAATCAAGAACAGGAGTATTGATCTTTGTTAACAAAGCTCCTATTATCTGGTATTCGAAAAAGCAAAACAGTGTCAAGACAAGCAGTTTTGGTTCTGAATTTGCTGCTCTAAAGACAGGTGTTGAATTACTTGAGGGACTACGATTCAAGCTCAGAATGATGGGCGTCCCAATCCAAGGTTATTGTCATACTTGTGTTGACAATATGTCCGTTGTCAAGAACTCAAGTGTTCCTGAATCTCAATTGAAGAAGAAATCGAACGCTGTCGCATATCACTATGTTCGCTCCAGATGCGCGATTGATATCCTACAAATTGAATGGATCATTTCCGCTGAGAACTTGGCCGACGTTTTAACCAAGATCTAACCTGGGACCGTTCATGACCGTCTTATGGAACATATCATGTGGAAAGCAAAGCAAAATGGAAAACTTGCTCTTCTGATTTAAATTTTTGGAAACGTCTTCATCCGTCGTCGGATATTGTCAGTCTTGGACAGTATTGGATGATACGTCCTCCCAAGAGGGGGTACGGTTGATATTAGCCCAATTCGGAGTACAAGGTTCCCTGATACATCAGTATCACCTTAAGGGGACCGTTAATTGGACCAGAGAGTGTCCATCATTCGTATGTCTAGATAGTTTAACCTAGAGTTTCGCACACACCTTGTAAAATCCCCATGTTTGTCATCGTACTCTTTTTCATCCCGAATCTCTCGTACCTCGCTATTCAATTTAACAGCGATGAATGCAGGAGCTATAGATTGACCTGGAACACACGAGTTAGTGTTTTTTGCGTTTTTCGCGTGCGTTGAAACTTTGTAAAAACAAACGTGTCGGGATGCTTGCAGGCGCCAACTTTATTCCGAAGAAATACCCAAACACTTCGGAGACGCGAAAAATGATGATTTCATTTCAAGCACGCACATCCGGGTTCAAGCACGCACATCCGGGTTCAAGGACACAAAGATGCATATCCGGGTTCAAGGGCACCAACATCCCCCTGAAGGGGTGATCTTGACAGTCATCCCAACGCATTAATTCTGTATCGCTGAAATATCAATAGTGTCTCCAATCAATAGTAGATCATGAAACTTCAGAAAACGAAGAGAAAATCCATCCCATGACATCCAACAACTAGTAGATAGAATTCAAGATATTAACATTCCATGACAAAATGCAATATAATTATAGCCTAGTACAGAGTTTTTAAATGTTATGGTGGTGAGGTATTAGTGTTCAACAATCGTCGTCTGCAATTGATGAAATGTACAGTACTGTTGGACAATATGCCAACAAATCATCCTCGAATTTTGAATTTTAAAAAAATGACACAAATGGATTTTCAGCGATTTTTCTGCAAGGCTTGCGCATAGAAGTTCGCTCTTATCACCTCGCTGCACACTGCAGGTGTTGGCTAGCGAAGGACGGACTGATCGGAACGTCCAACTATGTATGCAAAGAAGGTACAGTAGCAGGACAGTGAAAAGCTATGTACAAAAGAGATTGTGAAAGAAGTTGGTGAATGAGCTGCAGCTCAGTTGCAGCTCATTCCTTTTGAAAAGACTGCTCTGTATTTGACAGAGTGACTTTGAAGTCTAGGAATAGATAGGTATTAAGATTAGGAAAACACACGGCTCTTCTACCTGTAACACCCATTATCATGACCATTACGGACTTCACCGTGTGCAAAAAGAGCTACCGCTATCTCACCACCCAGGCGAGCTACCCAAACCATGATTCCAAGGCGGTCCTCGATGCCTTTGATCCCACCAAGGACCTTCAGTTGCAAGATCTAAACAGCCTTGTCGAAAAGGGCGTACAGGGAGGCGCCCCCGCCTGGTACACGGGATGGCCTAAGGAACAGGTGAACAACTTTAATTTTTGGCATCGTCCAATGATTAGATACACAACGGTTGGCAAAAAGAAAGAACAGCATTTTGATAAATTGTACGTGCTGGACCATGACGTTCTGGAGAACGGGAGCGACCCACTGGCATTCTCTTGGCTGGCAAAGGCCTTCTCGAAAACTGATCCGGTTAAGGTTCCAAAGTTGGAGGCGTGGTTGATAAACGAGGAGCTCGAGCAGGATCACTCCAAGTTGTTTGTGATGGAGGATATCACTGACGAAGATCCTGAGACGGCTTACGACCGACTGGTAACACGCAAGCGAATGCCCATTCCCAAGGAGTTCTTGGATATCACTTGGGACGGATCGTTGGCACGCGAAGTCTTGTGATTGGTGATTGACAGAATCACGATTCTCGCCAACAGCGAGGAGCCTGAAAAAATTTCGGAAGTGCATGAAAAGTTCCGGCACTTCGTGGACCATTGGCGCAAGGCGAACACGGTCATCGGGAGAGATCAGCTTTCAAAGAACGTCGGAGAACCTGCTGTTCTCACTGCGACATCTGCCCAACGTTGGGTTTCCGGAGTAATCAATTTGGATTTCGCCGGATTGGACTCGGAGGACTCAATTGGAGATTCCCCCAACAAGACCTACGAACTGCTCACCAAGACCTTGGCAGCCGTTGAGGAGAGTAATAAGACGACAAAGACCTCCGTGGAATCGCTTTCGGAGGTAGTGGTAGCGGGCATCCATGGACAAGCATCGGACAAGAAGGCGCCCCCAAATACAGTGGAAAAGAAGTGGCCCACAAGACTCTCCTATCTGAAGAGAGTTGCTGGTACTACGACCTCGGCTCAGCTTCCCACTCTCTGGCACGAGCTAGCAAAGTGTAAGAAGCACAAATCAATTGGAATTGTGCAGTCCCTGCTGGATGATGAGGCCGAGAAACTGAACATCAATATGGAATTCATCATTTCAGCCCGAGTAATCAAGAGCCTGGTGGAATTGGAATTTTGTTCGCGCGGCGACGCTGAAAAGGGTTTGAACATGTTTAATAGTGTCTGTTTCCAGCACTACAAAAATGCAAACGCGATCAACGATTACAACAAGAGCGATTACTGGTTGACGGGCGAAAAGACAACCGCGTCAATGAAGGATCATCAAGCCCACGACAAGATCAAGCACGCTATCTTCCCAAAGGATCCCATGCAGTTCCGTGAGATGGTCAATGGTATGCAGGTATATATAACTGATGCATTAATTGTATTAAAACTATCTCAAGTTTCTAGATTGCCGTTAACGGCTGTCATGGCCATTTACCATATGGAGGTGAGTCCAGTACTGTTGAACCAGTGTGAGGCATCCAATCCCAAGGAAGTTGCTCTCATCGGATATTACATTGCACCCTTGCACATGTAGAAACGATCTTGCCACTCGGGGCGGCGTATTTTT